TACAGATGTATACTGTGCTAAAAGCAATAACTACACCAATCCTGGTTTCCGTGTCTACCAAAATGAGCAAGCTTCTGTCCTCTTGGCTCACCAGAAAAGAGCATTCATTCATCCTAGAGACCTGCTCTTCTGGTCTCTCAACAGCCCTTTGTGTCTTTTAAGAGGATAAGTGCATGAATAAGTTGTTTGAACAGATTGTGAAACTGACGTGCCTGAATAAACATGACCTTCACACTTTGGGCCAGAATAATGTGATGTGGGTGATCTATAATTAATCTCCCTCTCTGTTTCTTTTCAAAGCCTTCTGATTTCATAAACAGAATCAGACTGGAGCCAGCTCCTGTACTTTGGGCCAAAGATATGGAAATATTTCTGAACTAGGAAAAAAAGTTCATTTTTTAAAAAGGTGCAAACTAACATATTGAAGCAACAGAAAACACATGATAGTGGCAAAATCAATTGCCTTGACATTGTGAAAGCTAAAGGGAGAGGAGAAGATGCTTAGATTTATGAAAAGTCATCTTTTTCTAAAAGCGTCCATGTCTTCATTAAAGATCTATTTTTCTTTAAACATCCATGAAAACAATGTCATAATCAAAGCACAACAAATCACATAGAAGACAAGAGTGCTTCTTTATATGGAACAAACATGCTAGGGAAGGAGTTTAGAGGATAATGACATTGCATCATGTGACTTATAATTACAGTTAGACCTGCGATCTGTGCAGATGACACAGTAATGGTAGAGAAATGTGGTTAGAACCATCAGTCCTGGTCTTCAGGAAATCTTAGCTTAGCTGTGCAACAGGATAGGAGAGGTTGATAAAAGTGAAGTGGGAGAGTGCATGTAGTGTTCATGTTAAATGATCTACCACACCCTCTGGATGGTAATGCAAGTAGAAGCAGGGACATAGAATTTTACAGCTGAGACGTTGGTGGTTTGGCCGATACAACAGAAATTTAGCACATTCCTACCTCGAATGCAAGCCTATTTCTGTATTTCCTGCCAGAGGCAGTTCTTGGTGGGGAAGTGGGAAAGGTGGCTCATCCCAAAATTCCAGGTGGATGATCTTCCACCTTGGTTATGAGCCTTCTATGGCTTCAGCATGAGTGGACTTTTCCCCCCTCCTCCTTCCCAAGAAGGAAGAAACACTCCTGTTCTACGGACTGCTTTGTGCCTGTGTTATGTTCCCAGGCAGAAGAAGCTAAGGAAGCATTGTCCAACTTTGGCTCATGTGCCAGCAGTGCCCCTTCCTGGGAAGATCTGCGCTGCCAAGGGTAACCCGTGCCTTAGTTGCATCAAGACTTGATTATTGAGATGCAAACGGTCTCCAAAACCTTCATCTGGCACAAAATGCTGCAGCAATTATGCTAATGGGCGTTGCATCAAGACTTGATTATTGAGATGCACTTTATCTTCAAACGGTCTCCAGAACCCTCAGCTGGCACAAAATGCTACAGCAATTATGCTAATGGGTACTTGCCTGAGAGTGTATATTATACCTGTCTTGCACAACCATTGCAATGGTTGCCAATTAGCTTCTAGGCACAAAGTATTATAACTATCTTTAAACTCCAAAACATCTTAGGATGGAGATTTAAAAGCCAGTCACTCACATTGTCCTCGAGAGTCTCTTCCCCATGCCCTTGTTAGTTGATGCAAGGCAAATTGGGACAGGATGAGGCAAAGGGTTTCCTCTCCTCTGTAGTCATGTTTCAACCTCAGAACACTCTATGTAGAAAAGTCTGCTGATCTATATCTCTTACTGCTTTTCATCACTTGCCCACAACACCAGCCTACTGTGGGATAAGGTCTTCTACAGGCTGTTGTTATAGTTGCTTCTAATTACTAGCTATATTTGTCCCTGTTTTACTGGTTTTCAATTTTTATTGTTCTTGATGTTATTGTTCCTATTTATTGTTGTTGATGATTGATTTTTGTTATTTTATTCATTTTGAGTAGTTATATACCACTCTCTGTGAAGCAGAAGAATGTGAAAAAATTGTCCAAATAAATAAATAAATAAATAAATAAATAAATAAATAAATAAATAAATAAATGCACGCACGCACGCACGCACGCTTGCACATACATACATACATACATACATAAAGCACAATGTGCAAAGGAAGGTCAAATCACAGCTCAAAATAAATGCAGCCTGTGTCATAGGTGCCAGTGAAGTTCTACCTTTCCCTTTCTGCCTACTGTTCACCTGGTATATTGGTTTCAACTTCAGTTTCCTACACCACATTCAGTGAAAAATAACATGCTGTAACAGGCATGTGGTTAGAGATGCTCCTTTTGTTTTGAGGACACATGAGGAGAAAAGACATTCTTAGGATTGCCTTCTCCCTATCCAGTAGTAAAGATTGCTGGATTAAGACAAACCACTGAGCTCATTAAAACTACTCAGGCAGGCTGATAACAGTTCTCAATCACTTTGCATATGTTGTTTATTCTCTGATTATCCTGTAGATGGTTTATACAGTAAGTCTGTATGAAAAAAAACTCTCCATTGTTGCTGCTTCTGCTTGTTTGCTTTGCTCACCTGCCATATTTCATCTTATATCTCATCTTATATTTTTGACTGGAATTCTCAAAGTTGCTCAGTTCTGATCAAAGGTGGCTCACAACCACAGCAGCCAACTGTACCACAACATTTGGGAATGAAATATCCACTCTGACCTGGTCCACAGTCTTCCCCTGGTTTAGACCAAAACCAGTGGAGGACTGTGGACCAAAACAGAATGGATATTTCAGTCCTGCATATACTAACAGCTAGTATATGAAATACGAACAGCTTTTCATCCTGAAGGCAATGAAACATTCCTGTTAGCATGGCGGCAAATGAATTAGAGAAATGTTTGGCACTTTGGGAAATGCAACACTAAAGGCTTTCAAAATTCTGCATCTGGGAGGAAGGATTAAAGTATCTGACCTGGGATCAATTCAGTAGTTCAATATATTTTTAACTAACTCCTTATATAATTGTTTACATTATTCATTTACAGTACTATGTACCTGAGTATTTTATATATTCTAGTAAGACAGCTTTTATATACAGTATTTACTTTAAGTACGTTTCTTACCTGCTCTCCCCATGAAGAGCTCAAGACAGCATCCATGACTCTCCTTATATCCCCAGAACAACTGTGTGAAGTACATTAGGTCAAAAGAGATTGGCTGGGCAAAGGTCACCAAGTAAATTCTGCGGCTCAATTGAGATTTGGATCTGGATTTCTTAAGTCCTCATCCGGCACTATAATCGTTACACCGCTATACCTTACTGTCTCTTTTAATTTATTATTTGTCAAATGGATGTAATTGTTTTTTGTTTTGTTCTTTTTTTTAAATACCACCCAAAAATAAAGTATATAGATAAGAAAATCAGAGAACTCGTGTTCTGAAACATCACCAGCTAGTTACCTTGTGTGTCTGAATTTTGAACCCAACACTTACCCACGTTCAAGAAATCCAATGTCTTTGAAATTTAACTAATGCCCACCTGCTCCATCCCAGTCTAGGAGCGAATTCTGCTGAGGCCTTAAATGATGAACTGAGGACTTGAACTGGGGTCCTTATCTTACCCACTAACTTCTGAGTCAAGGGGAATATCTTTCATTTCCTTAAAGAAGACTGCAGGAAACATGACTTAAACCCAGAAAATCCCAGTTAAGAGTGTGCAGAAGTCAAATCCATTGATCCTTAGAACCGATATTGGGGTCAAGCAGTAAAATTTTATCATAAATGTCTTTTCGAGATCAACATATATGATTTAACATCCCGATGTGAATGTTGACAGATTAGGAAGAGAGAGGAGAGCAAGTCAAGCTCAAACATGTAAACCTCTAGGTTTATGTTTCTCTTGATGAGTTTCATCACTCAAGCCTTCTTGCTAGAAGCAAGAACATCTTAACCTGAGATCATCTCCTTTTGGCTGTACTTTTGGAATCTATACAGAATCCAGAAGGGTAGTACACATCTCCTACTCCCTTGGCAACACAGGAGGAACATTGCCCTCCGGGCTTCGTTTTCTTTTCTTTTCTTTACTTGCTGGGCTCTCATTGATTTTTGTGCAGTGTGATGTAGAAATGAGAGTCTGTAAAGTTGTTAATGTCAAGATTTTCAGTATTTGTTTCCCTATTGCTATACATAGTTCTCTTTATTGCATAAGATAAGTGATAATATGATTATTAAAAAATAAAAAAACTTGATTTCCCGAAATCTAGCTAGTGAGTAAAGGAAGTACATTTAAACTTGAATATGATTTCCTTGCTGTCTGTGTTTGAGATTGATTAATCTATTAAATATTCATTTAAATAATCCAATAAATCAGTCCCATTGATTTTAATGGGGAAATTATGCCTTCACATTGAAATCAATACCATTTAACAGTTCTTAACTTTGGCTAAATCATGTCACTGCTGTTTTTGTTCTTGTTTTCCTTTTACCTCTTGTAACATAGTTAGCAATTGGCATATCATGTACAGCAGATTTTATTACAACTGTCCAGTAAACAACAGACAGACATGCACAGTCTCATATGTATTCGCATACGCACACACACTGGTTATACTATTTTATGATTTATTCATTTGTAGGCTACTCTTTTTAGCACATTTTAAAAAAGAAAACTATAATGATCTGTAAATAATAGAATAATTTTATTCTACAGAAAATAAAATAGATAATAGAGCAGGTATTAAACTCATAACTGTTGTAGTTAAATGATTTATAAAAATACCTTGACTGCCGCAATGCACTCTACGTGGGGCTAACCTTTAGTTGGTGCAGCATAGAGCACCCAGGTAGCTAACTGGAACAGATTAACATGATTGTGTGACCCCAGTACTGAAAAATCTTGCCACTTGTGTTTGGTGGAGAAGGGAGGGGATGTTTTGCATTTCTTTTTAATTGTTGCAAACTAATACAGCATATCAGTAATGTTTTGAAAGGGCTTTTGAAGAAAAAAAACCCTTTCAAAGCATTGCCAATGTGTTAGAAACAATTAAAAAGATATGCAAAAATTCCTCTCCCTTGCCCTCCAAAGGCAAGCTTCAAGGAAGCTTTTCATTTCAGAAGATGGTTAAGTGGCTTCAGTAAAGGAACAGCCAGCTAGTTTTTTTTTTTCATTCTTCTGGGAAATGAAATGAATCACCCCAGTGCAAGAGCAGACGAATCTCTGTGTAGTAGCACCCTTCGTGTCAAATGGATTACAGTTCAGTAAGCAGGACTGGGTCAAGACATCTTGGCATCTGAGGAGATTCATCCAAACAGTGCATCATGTTGCTGAAAAATATTTTACTTACATGAATATTTGAGAAAGTGGAATAAACCAATTTAAATAAATTATAGCAAAGCGTCATATAGGAAAAGTCAGATGATTCTTTAAGCTAAAGCTGTGGAACACAAATGCACAGATGATCTGGAAGCAGACTTAATTGCATTGAAGCTTAATTGACTTCATTGTGAAAAATGTGTCTTGATTGAGGTCCCATCATACTTAACAGCCAGACTCCTTTTGGTCACATGCAGTGTTAAGCAGGCAATTGAGCTTGCTGGTGGTGTGCTGCCATACTCTCATCTTCCTCAGGTCAAAAAACAGACATATGGCAGATGCACAATTGCATTTATGCATGCTGTGGGTTTTTTTTAAATAGGATTTTGTCCAGCTTCATTATAATCTTGTTATGCCTCACTTCTGCTTTGTTGATTCCAGTACACTCAACATTTCTGTTTCAACAAATATTTAAAAACAAGATTATTTACATAGCCAGTGTGGGGAAAAGCAGACCCTTCTTTAAGAGGAAGGCAGGATAGAAGGAAGGACTTTTTAAAAGCATTGTCTCTTGGATTTCTTTTGCAGCTCGTTAATGGAGTTCCTCACCTCGGGTACAGATGTCGGAGTGGTTTCATTGGGAACCTTTCATCCAATCACTTTGTGAGTGACAGAGCCTGGCACTCAGTCCTTCTGGAAGTAAGAAGATATTCCACCCACTTGCTTGTTGATGGCTTGGGAAATGCCTCTCTGCAGCTGCCAGAGGCCTGCGGTGTTTCTCATTCTAGAAGAGATCTGCTCATTGGGGGACTTGTGCAACATCACCAGACCCAGAGGGTCACACATGGGTTTAGAGGTTGCCTGGATGCCATTAAAGTGGATGGAAGAGACCTAGTGGTTCTGCCAAAGGAGAAGAGGCCCAGAGGGGTCGTCGAAGAGGCAGGCATTAGGCAGTGCTGCCCTCACACAGGCGTCTGTAGCAGCAACCCTTGCCTTAATGATGGGTTGTGCACAGAGATGCAAAATGGTGGTAAGTACTATGTTTGTAGCAGTTGCTGAAATGCAGAATGGAAATGGGGAGAGAGGAGTGATAAAGAAATTGACTGGCATCAATTGTCAGGAGTAGAGCAACTTTTAGGGAAATGATGGGAATTTTTCTAGTCTCCTTGTAAAACATGCTCTACTAGTTAAACATTGGCTCAGTTAGGATAGTGAATTATGAAGCCAGAAATTAGTCTGGAACCTGCACACATCTCCATCATCACTCTGTTCTTTCCCTCACGACTCAAAGTGCAGGTTCCAGACTAATTTCTGGTTTCATAAATCACTCTCTTTCCTGGTGTTCTCTTGTGTATTTGTATGCACATATAGGATACAAGGTAGGATTCAACAGTGGTACAGAAATGTTACTGCTCAAATTTAAGTAGGGCTGGAAAATAATTGACTGTTGTTCCCTGCCCTCAGTGTTTGGTGCTAAGCTAGGAGCCAAAGTTACAAAGTAAAGGAATAAACAAAGAAAAAAGAACTGGTCTGTTTTATTATACATGCAGTGTGGTTTTTTTTTACTATTGTTGAAATGTAGCCTTCCCATTCCCCTCTTATTTTATGTTTTGTTAGTGTCCGGAAGAATAATTTTTGCATTTACTACTGTACATTCATGGTACCAAGCAGCAGTGAAGAGTCTGTCTGTCTGTATCTGTCTGTCTGGTGTGGACTAGGACTCAAGAACAGGGTTTGAATCTCCGCTTGCCCATGGAAACTCACTGGGGGAGTGGAATTGGTAAAACCATGCCTTAAATATCTCGCCTTGAATATCTCTTGAAAGCCCTATTAGGATCACTATAAGTCCATTCCGATATAACAGCACAAAACCCTCCCTCCCTCCCTAATATTTATACTCCATCCTTCTTTGGGCTTTAAAGACTTTAGAGTTGTCACTTTATGTCATTATAGCAATCCTGCAAAGTAAGGTTGGGCTAAGATATGACAAGCCTGTGTTCATCTAATCAGATTTTTTATTAAAGTCATATCTGAACCAGACCTACTTGGTATACATTTAACAGTCAAAGAATGTTGAATTGATAATTGTTGTTTGTTTTTGCAGAGTGTTAAAGGAATCTTGCCTTGAATCTTGCCTGGCTAAGATAATTCCTAAAATTCTCTGATTCAAGAGATATATATTTGTAAAGTGTAAGGCCTCAAGCGACCAGTCTACTTTGCAACCTCCACTGTACTTTGCAGTGTGGATTATTGAGCTGTCAGGATTCTAGAGAGCAGTGCCTTAAGTGGGGGCACATGGCCTGTAGTTAGAAGAGAGCTACTGAATTTCACTTAGAGAAGCATTTCTGGGAACAAGTGTTTTTCAGTGTTATATTTAATTAGTATACATGCTGTTCAGAGTGTCCTTGGACATAACAAAAAGAAGAAAGGAAGGAAGGAAGGAAGGAAGGAAGGAAAGAAAGAAAGAAAGAAAGAAAGAAAGAAAGAAAGAAAGAAAGAAAGAAAGAAAGAGATAAATAAATAAATAAATAAATAAATAAAAGTAATACAAAGCAACATCATCTGAAATGTATTCTGATTTCTCATGAGACTGACATCTCTTTTAAAACCAGTTTTGCTCCTGCTTCTCACCCCCCCCCGCCCCACTTAGGTTATTCCTGCATCTGCCCCATCCAGTTTTCTGGTGATCACTGTGAAGTGGCTGACAGCCTTTGTGAAAGCAAACCCTGTTTACATGGAGGGACGTGCACCTTCTCCAAGAAAGGAGGCTACACTTGCCATTGCCCAGAGCGATACTGGGGAGAAAGGTAAGAAGGCCCATTAAGTTCCATCCCACTCATACCAATGGTGATGGGATGCACGTGAATAAGAGACTGGATCCACAAGTCCTGGCGGTAGCTCTAACATGTCAACTAATAAAGCATGTGTCTTCTTTTCATTGTGTGGGCTAAATCTATTACCATGTTCTCAACCAAGAATGCCTTACATGTGCTTACATTTGAAGCTCATATGTGTGAGTGTGTGCTTTTTTTTAAAGAAAGCTGAGTAAGAAGAGCCATGATAGAGGTCTATAAAAGTATACATCGTAGGGTGAAAGTAGGTAGGGATAAGTTTGTCATCCCTCTCTCACAGTACTAGAGTCCTGAGTCTTCCCCTGAAACCAAGTGCTGGGTGATCTTGGGTAAATAAAAGAGGGAACTTTTTCACGACATGAATAGTTAAACTGTGTAATTCACTGCTAGAGCATGTAGTGATGGCTGCCAACTTGGAAGTCTTGAATAGAGAACTAGATAAGTACATGGAGAATAGTGGTGTCAGTGGCTACTAGGTCAGAAAGGCTTTTTATTGCCTCCAGCATCAGAGAGAGTATGCAACTGTATAACCACTGCTGGGAGATGCAAGAAGAGGGTACAGTTGCTCTTATGAACTGCTGGATGGCTTTCCAAAGAATGATGGTCTAGATAGGTCTCTGATCTTACCCAGCAGGGTTCTTCTTACATTCTTAGGAGAACAATAATGAGAATGGAGATCAATATTACATTAACTATTCTTGCTGTTCTGCTGTTAGGAAACTACACGATTGGTCACCAGGTGGTGCTGCTGCATCAGCACCATAGCTTCTTGTGTATATATACCTTTGAGGATATCTATGTTGCCTATGAGAAGGAAAAATATAAACAGGAAAACATGATGCCTCCCTGTGGTTATTGCTGTATGGGTGCAGAGCATAGTGTTTTGGACTATGAGAACCCATTTATGGACCTCTCTAACCTTAGAAAGAAGCTCCTTAGAGCTGTCATTAGGATGACGTAAGCAAAAGAAAGGCTTTCCCCAGAGCTGGCATTTCAAATTATAGTGTTAACATTTTATCTTATTCATCAGACCAAATACATAGACTGGGTTCACACATAATAGTAAGTCTAGTTGTGGCTTGCTGAATTCTGACTTCTTGTTTGTGTCTGCACCTATTGCTGAAGATCATGCTTTGCCAGCCAGCCACAAACCACAATTGGAATCTATAGTTTGCTCTTGGCTTACCAGTGCTGGTTTATTTAAACCATGCCTTGTTACAATGTGTAGAGAAATTATCATGGCTGGGCCCTGAAACAGAAGCTAACATAGGCAGGAGAAAGAGAAATTACTTTCTTTCCACAATTTCCAGTTTGTTTATTCATCTGCAAGACAAGTTGTGGTTAAGCAATAAAGTGTGGCAGGACACAGACCAGAGCTAAATACTAACATGAGAATGCAGTTGCAGTGTTTCCATCTCACTGCAGTTAGTCATTGTTAATGATTGCAGAATCATATTCTGGGGTTATGCGTTGGTCAGTCTGTTGAGGAAGTTGCCTGTTTTCTTCCCAAGTTATCTGCAAGTCTTACTAATGATATACACCAAACTGTTCGTAATCTGTGAATAGTTTTTGGTTATATTTTATTTATTTTCTCTACGTGCCCCATCTTAAAATATTTATATCCTTCCTCAAAAGAAGACAAAATGAAAAAGGAATCACATTTTGAAATATTGTTGTTTTCTTATATTAAAATGAAAATGGCTTGGGTTTTCTCAGTTTTATGCTTTCTAAAAATATATATATTAACTATTTGCATGTTAATAACAATGACTATTGAATACAAAATGACCATAATAAAACTAAAGCAATGTTTATGGTACGGGGAAAATATTTTTAAAATATAGCAATTTGTGGCATATTATTAAAATACCCTGTAGTATCTTTTAAAAAACAAGAATAGCTATGTTTTTAAAACTCCACTTTTTCATATCACTTCCTTGTATTCTTTTGAATCTTATCTTCTGAATAAGATCCCACACCTTAAGTTCACCTACTTTTAGTTGTGACTCTCCTATAAAAAGCAATGTTACTATGAGGTAAATGTGTATAAGTACTACAAGGTAATGCGTCATTTGGTTCAATGAGACTTTGACACACCTAAATTCAGCTAGATTAAACCCAGAAGGTTCAGTTATCTGGCCATATGAAAGCAGTGGTTGTTTCACAAACAGCCTCTAGGGTGTCATACTGTCTACTTATGTCTTCTATCACTCTCTTCCACAGATGTGAAAAAGTTGCTGAGAAGTGCTTAGAAAACCCATGCTTGAATTCTGGCCGTTGTGTGAAATCTGATGGGTCCGTTCACTGCATATGCACAGGCGACTTCCAGGGGGCATTCTGTATGCATAAAATTTTGACTCCCAATATTAGTCCATCTAACTGGATCTTTGCACCAGGGGATATTGCAAAAATTTCTGCTGGGGTGATTGGTGTAATCACCTTGGTGGCCGTGTGTATAGCGATCTGCATAGTGTACCGTCACAAAGCTAAGGCTCACAAACCGGTGGCCAAAGAAGACCCAGACCTACTCTCCAAAAGTGAATTCTCCAAAAGCGTTGGGGTTGGCACTCAAGGTCTTCCTCCCATTGAACTCAACATCCTTGGGAACGTTCCCCACAATCATCTCAATGTAGTAGACCCAGGCAAGCCTACTGGTGCTTCAGAGTTTGTTATTTTCAACACAAGCAATGTTCAGAAACAGCGGGGTGCCATTGTGTGCAGTGTGGCTCCCAATCTCCCCACTGCTGTGCCCACATCTAATTTGGACAATGGATCTATCATCAAGAGCAACTGGACTGGAGAAAAGATGGGTTTGTGTTATTTTTCTTTCTTTCTTTCTCCTTTCCCTCTGTAACACTGGGTTATCTTTGGAAATGTTATTTTTTTCATACAGAAAACTGCATAGCTATTCATGTGTTATAGGACATGTCTCATAAGACTAGAGTTATGTATTGAAGCTGAATAGTACAACATTCAGAACAGATCAAAAGAGGCAAATCTTCTATTAACGCTTCATTGAACTGTGAAGAAGTGGAGAGGGCCACCAGCATGGCCATGCTCAAAGGCATTTGAGTATCCACTGTAAGAAAAAGAGTATTGGTCTACCCAGCTTTTGTTCTGATCCGTCAGGGCTCTTCTGATATCCTCAACTCCTTGTATTCTTATCCAGGCAGGTTTTATTAACAGTAGCTTTGTTACAGCATTCAAAGCATAATATGTTGTTATTGTGGGACTATTATTTCCCTCCCCAACCCCATTTAGAGCATCATTCTACTAGTCTGAAATACATGTAGGCATCCTGAGTCTCTATATGACATGGTAACATTATATAAATAATGATCACCCCATTATAAGCAACTATGCCATTTTGAAAAATTTGTTTTTCAGGGCGGCAAAAATATATATATAATTATTTGCTAGCTATGCCTTCCCCTCCTCTCACAGTGGTTTTCTTATCTTCTCAGTGGAAAAGATTGTAAGATGTGTCTGTGACATCACAGCACATGCATTATCCCCAAGCCATCACATAAATACTGGTGTTTGTCCTGACTGTGCTAGTCTGTCATTTTTTAGTGTCTGTGAAGATCCTACAAGCCTGAATGAAGTCAGTGCTGAGAGGAGCAGACAAATACCTTAGACCTTCTTGTCTCTTAAGAAAAGCATGTGCAAGTATTTGTCTCTTCCTACTTCCCAGTTCCATTCTGTTCTCCATAGTCCTCAGCCAGGATCCTGTTCAGTCAAAATGAAGTGTAATGCAAGCCTTCTTAAGGCACTTAGCTGTTCTCAGTTGGGGGGGGGGGGAGAACCACTTGTGCAATACTGACATCCCTGCAAGTAATAAGGTCCCCCATTACTCTTTTATTTGAACTGTGTAGGAAGAAAACGGGACGTGATAGCGCTGCGGGTTAAACCGCAGAAGCCTCTGTGCTGCAGGTCAGAAGACCAGCAGTCGTAAGATCAAATCCATGCGACGGAATGAGCTCCCATCGCTTGTCCCAACTCTTGCCAACCTAGCAGTTTGAAAGCATGTAAATGCGAGTAGATAAATAGGTACCACCACGGTGGGAAGGTAACAGCGTTCCGTGTCTAGTCGCTCTGGCCACATGACCACGGAAACTGTCTACGGACAAACGGCTCTATGGTTTGGGGATGGGGATGAGCACTGCACCCTAGAGTCGGACACGACTAGACTAAATGTCAAGGGGAACCTTTACCTAGGAAGAAAAAACAATACATATCCTGGTACTCAGATCCACACACATGCACACTCGTATGATCAGGAATGTGCAAGGGCAGGCATGGAGATACAGTGTGACCTCCACCATACCCCTGTGCCTGACTCTTCTAACCTTTCTGTGGGAAGCCTACAGTGGGGAGCTTCACACATTTCTGTAGGCTTCCTACATAAGTTTAAATCCTGATCATGCAGAATTCTAAATTTCCCAAGATTACGTGAATGCCATACATTCTCCACTGTGTCAGGAGGTGGGGGTATCACAGAGATGCCACAGAAGGGGCATAAATAGCAAGTAGATCCCTGTTTTCCCTTTTACAATTTTTAATCTTCTGGACCTAATAATGACTGCCTAAATATGGTTGCAGGGATTACCAGATACAGTGGTGCCTCGCAAGACAAATTTAATTCATTCCGCGGTTAACGTTGTGAAAAATTCATCTTGCGAAATGCGTTTTCTCATAGGAATGCATTTAAATCTAATTAATGTGTTCCTATGGGCAAAAAAGTCAGAACAAAGTAAAAGTTGGTTTACAAAGGGTTTATTAAGTGCTCTTTAAAGCCATACATATTGTGCAGATGATTTTAAAAATTCAATTAAAAAAACCTTTTAAACATCACAGAAAAACATTTAAAAATAGCAAACATAAGGCAGGAACAAAAAACGGAAAACATTCGTCTTGCGAAGCATGGCCACAGGAACATTCGTCTTGCGAGTCATCAACCCCATTGCCAAAACCATTTGTCTTGCACGTTTTTTGTCCTGCGAGGCATTTCTCTTGCGAGGCACCACTGTATCTAGCTAGGTTAATTAAGAGTTTGCCTGATTCCATACACAGCCTTTTAGACAACCTTTAACAGAGATTAATCACCATTGTCCCTTCAGGGTGTACAAGATGTTTCAAAACATACTCCCTGACCTGCAATAGTAAGTCACAGCTAGAGTAGGCCCTTTGAATCAATGGAACATACATAGGTGCTGATTCACCAAATTACTACCAATTCCATGGGCCTGCTCTAGTAGTGACTTACCACTGGATTTCATCCAATAAGATAATAGCTATGGTATTGGGAGATGCCCTCTCTTGAAATATATTAATCCACATCTGATTTTATTTCAGTGTACCCAGCAGAGACAACTTACTGGCCACCAAGGTACCAGCCAACAGATATGCAGGACTACCATCAGTATGAAGTCATTGAAGGCTCTCTTCCACCTTCTCCACACCGTGAGGCTCCTCCATCCTTGGATTCGGATCCAGCTGGCCTTTATGGGGGCTTTCCTTTCCCCCTTGACCAGAGTAACAAGCGGGCCCCTATCCCGCCCCGTTATAGCAACCAGAATCTGGAAGACTTCTTGCCCCCTGGTTCTGCTGACCTGTCTGATTCCCAGTGTCAGAATGAATACACTGCTATTAGCTATTACCCTTCCCAGCTGGTAGAAAATGAGAGTCCACCATTCCATCCAGACAGTGGGTATAAGAAAGTAAGTATGCGGCTTAGTGTGGCCCAGCCCTCTTATGCAGACTGCGAGGTGAGGCCTACCTCCAACGTCAGAACTCAGCCAGTACTGCCTCCTAATTACGAGGGCTCTGACATGGTGGAGAGTGACTACGGGAGCTGTGAAGAGGTGATGTTTTAATAGAACTCTTGCTTGAAATCAGAAGCTACGGTCCATACCAAATTTGAATTGCATGAAGTGAAAGGAGGGGCAACTTTGAACATCCCTTTCTTTGAGTCTGTAGCTTCCTGTTGTATTCTTAACAGCTGGCATCTCTGCACACACTGTTACTGGAAACTAGCACTGGTGCTTCTACTTTTGTGTTGGATTAGGTTCCAGATGGATCTTCTTGCTGCTCTCAGTTGGACTGCTCCAAGAAAGCACAGAGAGGACCCTTCAGGAAATGTAAAAGAACTTTCATTGACTGCTGTCTAATGGCAGCTTTTTTTTAAAAGCAAAAGTGATTGTTTTATAGGCAGAGAGTGCATTACTATCTCCCTGTCCTTTGCACAGCCCTATTAACCAACCAGTACCACACTAAAAGAGGTAGCACTTGTAAACAACAGCAGGCAATTGTGGTTGTCAGTTGCCAACTCAGTAGCAATCATGACTGAATGGATTACCGTATTTGCCAGCGTATAAGGCGACTGGGCGTACAAGACGACCCCCCCAACATTTCCACTCAAAATGTAGAGTTTGTTATATACTTGCTGTATAAGACTACCCCCTCTTCCGCATGCATGATTCTGCTTTGGCTGCATCATGGGGAGAGTTTGTTTTGCCGCTTTTGACTCCTTTCGCTGGGAGAGAGCGAGGGTTTGCTGGAAGAAGGACAACATCGGCGCCGAACAGCTGACTGTCGGGAACCAGCAGATTGGCGGCAGCCATATTGGAGAGGCAGCAGCCATGTGGTCATCTCAAAATGGCTGCGGCCTCTCTGCTGGTTCCCAACAATTCGGCGCTAAAGTCAGGCTGTTCCCAGGCTACTAAGGAGAAGCGGGCTAGGTCTACTCGGTCTTACTACCAGGTAAGTGACTTCGCTGGGAGAGAGGGAGGGTTTGCTGGAAGTGCCCCCGGCGTATAAGACGAAACCCCCCCCCACTTGGAGGCATGTTTTTCAGGGCCAAAAAGTCATCTTGTACACTGGCAAATACGGTACTTAGGCTGCAACTACATGGTCAAATACTGCGGGATTTGCTCCACTTCTAAAATGGGTGAATTTGAAGTATTTGTTTTACGGACCACATGAGGCTAAGGCTGATTGCATTCAGTCCAGCCCTTTTTGCTCCCAAAAGTGGCTTTTTCCCCTCTACTATTGGGAAGCTTCTCTGTTGTCAAGCCTGAATGATTTGAATGGGCTTTTCCCTATGGGGTTAGTTGATACGTTCTTCTAAAGACAGAGGAGAGAATGTTTGTAGGGGGTGTTTCACTGACATAGGCATTTGTAGTCTGATGTTCAGGACCCGGGGGGGCACATTCTTTCCCCAATCATCCTCCAAATTTTTCATTTTTCTTTAAAAAATGTTTCATATATAAGATTAGCACTAGATCACCCTTTCACCTTTTCACTGGGTCATTGTTATCATTTTCCATATTTATGCCCCTTAAAAATGATCAGCAGAGGCAGGATCAGAGGAAAGAAGGAAAAAAGAAGGGGCTGTGGAATGCATCTAGTATGAACAGTGAACTCCCAAATCAATCCACAGCCCTTATGTGAACACTGACTGTGATTTCGAATGCAATACAGTCTGAGAATCAAATCACAGCAAAGTCAAATTGATCTGATTACATTTGAAATCACAGTCAGTGTTCACACAGGGGCTGTGGGTTGATTCAGGAGTTCATCATTCATACTGGATGTGATCGGCTCTGGTTCGGCTTTCCAGTGTAGTTGCATCCTTACTGTAAATGACAACCAGACTTCTACGATATTAGTGGTGTCTTTAGTTTCAAGATGAATGGTTCCTATTGGGACAAAAATTGCCAAAGTGGATTTGGGTAGATATGGAAAAATAGAGACAGGATACTATGCAGCTCTGTGTCTCCTGCTCCTTTCATATGTTGTCCGAATTATTCAGTCTTTGGTCTGTTGTCCTCCAGATCTTTGAACAAAAAGGGCCAGAGGGAGGCAAAACAAAGAGATATGTGACTTCCTCTTATGTCACAAATGGGTACAGGTCACTAACAGTGAATAGCAGTGAACAGTAATGAATGCAAAAGGTAGATTACAGAAGAACATGAAAGGTGCTGTGCCCACTTTGGGCCACAAGCATTGCCTGTTATTTCTAAAAGCAAACTTTCTGTTAAAAAAAAAGAGAGACAAAGACTCTACATTAATCAAATCAAGTCATTCATGCATAGTATCTGGGAGACATAATTGACTTGTTTTTTGATTCCCATGATTGACTAGAGACCATGTACCTCTCTATTCCTGCTAGAAGAAATGGTGAAAAAAAGAGGAGTGTTGATTCTATCTGTTAACCGTATTCAACACATTCCATGAACCACAACACCTTTCTATATCCTATAGAAAGTCAGGGAGAAATGCACATCATTGTGCAAGATTATGTGTGTAAGACTTTGTGTGAGAGTGTTCATTTATGGGCAAAATTAGGAAAAGAGAGCCAAAATGGGGTGTGCAGTGGATTATTTAATGCAAGGCTGGCCTGGGCTTTTAATGCACAGTACACCTGTGAGAGATTGTTATTGACATTTGTTTATCAAAAGCAATAAAACAAAGTTTTTAAAATGTTTTACTTGCAGATTATTTCAAGTAGCTTGATAACCATCATATGGCAGTTTGCATAGTTCAAAATAAAGGCTGGAGTTAGTTGTTGAATTTCTGTTTAGATCTTTAGGAGTCCAAGAGCATTCCCATCTTCTGTAGTTATTCGCCTTATTAAGAAGACAATGGCCCTGATCCAGCTATAAATGTATGAAGCTTATTGTACAGAACAATGGATGGTCCCAGATTCAGCTGCACATTTCCATTCACATCAAAATATGTATCTATCCAGTTCAGTAAGGCTCAGATTTGTGCTGTAATGTGAATCACATTGGATAAATGTATGGAGGCTGCTTATGAATGTGGATTATTTTTTGCCTTATGCCTCTATTACTATATTCAAAAGCCTTTTTAAAATACCTGACATTTGGGTTATTGATTTTAGACTGCAGCATCCCACCAGGTATGATACAAAAGACAATGCTAATAGCTTTTTGCCTGGTAAAAATTTTGCATCCATGCTATGGCTACAAAAGTCATCACTGCCTTTTGCCCTATGAAAAAGAATTTCAGAGTATTTCATTATGTTGTTTGCATTATGTTTTTTCCAACAAGGACACAACAGCTCTATATGTGTACTAAATACAACATGTGCAACAGGCAATGTAAAATATCTATTCTGCCTTACAGATATCACGTCACTGTGTTTTCCTACATGGGATAAACTCATTTTTTGAGAGTAAACATATTACATTTTTTGTGCACAGCCAACAATCTACTGGCACAATCAAAGCTTATTCCATTTAGTAAGATAGGTAAGATCACTTCTGCCAATAACCTGCTACTTTACAAGAAAAGCAATAATTTAATCAGAATGTAATACTGATGCATTTTACGTAGATATGCACCTGTATGATCATTTGTTATCAAATAAGGATTGTAGGAAATTTGAAGATAACAGTCATGTGGCACCTTTAAGATTAATGGATTTTTTTAAAAGAATCTGGATTAGTACAGGGTGAACATGGCTGTGGGGAGAAAATACCTGGAGAGATTATGTGGTGAGAAGAGCTAAGCGGAAGATGATCCAGTTGCTCTGCCCCCTTGTAACGAAGTTCTTCTTCAGCCGGGGGTACGCTCGTGGTGAAGGTGGGGAAAAGGACTGGAGGCTGTTCGGAATTTTTAACATTAACTTCTTTATTTGTAACTGCATCCAGTTCAACGGAATCAAACAGGTCTAATAAATTTAACTCCGGCAAAACCTTGTATTTCTTAACTCTAACATCGGGGGGGTCGACTTGTTTCCTTTAGAAGGGAGCTGGGCCAAAACGCTCCCTGTCTGTCAGAGGTCTCAGAGGGGCACTCCACACCGTGCAGACCGTCCCACAACATGGGTGTCGAGCCCAGTCCCCCTCTGGTGGTTTCTGTTGAAAAGAGGGACCAGGCCGGATCACCCTCCGACCCCCAGGATGGGGGTAGACGACCACCGTCCATTCCAACGGGTCAAACCCGCATCCCTTCGTACCGAATAGTGATGGATCTGGTAATAATCCTCCTCCTAACTGTAAGTTGGGGAAGTCTTTTAGAATCCTGGACACCTCTTCATAGTCCCGCATGGGCTCAGTCTCCACCCCGCGACTTATGGTTCCTCCCAACTCCCCGTCCGTTGTCAGTCTGAATACGCGCGCATTTTCCTCTCCTTTTATATCCTCCCACAATATTAAGTCCAACTCCTCCCCTCCCTCATCCGCTAAACACACTTCTGCTGGTTTCTGGGGAATTACTTCCTCCTGATCTATCTCTATCAGTATTCCTTCTGCACATCCACTTTCAGCCACTGTGTTCTTTGACTCTGAGGACGGCACACTGTTCTCACCTTCACACCCCTTTACTCCTTTTCCTCATAATCCCACTATTTGCAAGTGCAAAGAAGAATAGGCAATACCATATCTATGTCAATGCACTCCATGCCTCTCAACATGTATGAAAGAAGACCTGATGTTAGCTGCCCCAAATGCTCTTCACATTGACCATTGTTGGGCAAAAATTATTTGAAATATTAATAGCATTGTGGTGCTTCTGACATGAACCAAGAAGAAGAAAGATGCTGCATTCACCTGAGTCCTGTAATTTATGCCATTAGACCAGAGTTGTGACAAGGAATCCTCATTTCTCAGTTGGCTTTGAATCTCCCAAGGCTCACGCTGACACTACCTTTTCAGGAGTGGTTCAGGACATCAAAGCTGCCATGTTAACCATGAGGATGTCCCAAAGTAGCAGCTGTCCAGCACATGCTGTAAGTTTCACTCCACCCCCAACTGAATGGCCAATGATAGGAAAAAAACAAGAAAGATGAGAACCAGTTTATGTTCTTGGACAGTTAAAATATTTTTCAATTTATTGCTTATTACTTTATATGACCGCTGTTCATATAAAAGAATTGATGCTTTTGAATTGTGTTGCTGGAGGAGACTCTTGAGAGTCGTCTGGACTGCAAAGAAAACAAACCTATCCATTCTGAAGGAAATCAACCCTGAGTGCTCACTAGAAGGACAGATCCTGAAGCTGAGGCTCCAATACTTTGGCCATATCATGAGAAGAGAAGGCTCCCTGGAAAAGACCCTGATGCTGGGAACGTGTGGAGGCAAGAGAAAAAGGAGATGACAGAGGATGGGATGGTTGGACAGTGTCATTGAAGCTACCATAATGAATTTGACCCAGCTCCGGGAGGCAATGGAAGACAGGCGGGCATGACACTCCTGAAGCTGAGGCTCCAATACTTTGGCCATATCATGAGAAGAGAAGGCTCCCTGGAAAAGACCCTGATGCTGGGAACGTGTGGAGGCAAGAGAAAAAGGAGATGACAGAGGATGGGATGGTTGGACAGTGTCATTGAAGCTACCATAATGAATTTGACCCAGCTCCGGGAGGCAATGGAAGACAGGAGGGC